GATAAAAAACACAGACCCACACAACCTGGGTTCAAGTCCCACCTCTGCTGTGTGATTTAAGCAGGTTGACAAACTTCTCTGTGCATCAGTTACTTTAGGTATAAACTGGGAATAACGATAGGATCTATCACATGTGGTACATATGAATTAAATCAGTTACTACATGTAGGTGCTTCTCTGTGCTGGGACGTAATAAGTGCTGTGTGTCTACTGTAAGTCCTACCACGCTGCTGGTATTCCTGCCCAGTCCTGTGCTGCTGGCTCCTTTCTCCACCTGTTAATGGACACTGAATCCCCTGCAAATCCAAGCCAATTGTTTCGGGGAGCGGAACCTTCTGGACGAGGTCCTGGGAGACGTCACTTGGTAGCTGCCTTCTCCTCCCTCCCGTTGCACACTGTTCAGTGAGTCCACTTTCAAAGCCACTGCCTTGGAAGGTGCCGAAAGACTTGCGCCTCCAGGGCTGGTGTGCGCCGTGGTCTCCACAGACAATGTGGGTCCCTTCCCCCACCCCTGCCAGATGGGCAGCTGGACCCCGCTCTCCAAGGCCGGGTCAGCCTTGCTTTCTGAGTCCTCATTGTGCCACAGCCATATGGGCCCAAGCCCGGCAGCCCGCCTTCAGGGCCGTGCAAAGCACTTAAGGGAATTGGCTTCCGATTTTTTCTCACAGAATCCATGAGCTCATGGGAGGCTGGGCTGAGGGTCTGATCTGAAGCAGAAATTAGAATTAAGCCTCCTCTCCAAATGCTTGAAACCCTGCAATTATCCCTCCCCTCCCTCTTTTGCCCCTCCCCCTCCCCTACAGCCCTCACGCCCTCCCACCTCCCTCAAGTCAGGGGCTCTCAACTTGACTCAAAAGGCCCCTGGGACTCCTGGGAGGCCTGCCCTCACGCGCCTGTGAGCACACATCCCCTGGGAAGCCTTCCATAGTTACTGTTCTGTTCTCAAAAGGGGTTTGTGATCTCCCAAAATGTCATGGACTCTAGCATTTATTCCATTGGATAAGTCGATCCATTGCGCTGGGCTCTCCAGGAAAGGCCCCAAGCTGGACTCCGACATGCAGGGGGTAGCTGAGACACTCCCGTGGGAAAGACGGGGGAGAAGCGGACCCGGGGCGCAGTCAGGCAGGAGGGAAACCTAACCAGGAGCTGCCCACTGGGATTCCGGAGCGCAATCGCTAGCGGGGGTGTCCCATGCTGGGCCCCTGGACCACGACGCTGCTCTCTCATGTTGGCCTAAGAAGCGTAGGGCCAGGTTTGAAAGCTGAGGTCTACCCTGAAGGAGCTGTCAGCCCACCATGCGCATTGTGACTGGAGCCTGAGCCCTTTCTGAAAGAGGGTCCAGGTGGTGCACCCCTGCGCCACTACGTGCCCTGGGTGGCCACCACACACAGCATCTGGTGGGGCCTCCTCAGTCCATCAGACTCGCCCAGGTAGATTCAAATCCAGGTGGCCCAGCCCAAGCCACACCAGGGACCTCGCAGCCCTGACCTAGTAAATAGGAGTCCCTGAACTCAACTTGAAGAAGAGAGCTTCGGGCTTGTTGGGGAGGAGAAGCAAGTTGTAGACAAGGGAATTCTTTATCTTATGAATGGATTATATACATGATGGTTGTTTACAATTTGGGACACGTTTTCTCATGGAAATGCTATTAGAAATGGTTCCCCAGGCTCATTTGCAGAAACCTATTAAATTCATAGCTATGTTTCAATAATAGGAAGGGTCATCCCCAGGTCAGAGGCCAGGAAGACCCCCTTTGCGAGCCCTTCTGAGCTGTCCAGGGAATCTTGCAGCAGCAGCGGCAAAGGAAAAATCTGCCAGCATTGGGGGGGGGCGGGGGGGGAGGAGGGGAGAAGCAGTCTGAGGGAATCCAGGCTGCAAGGGCGTCCCAGGGCTTGGGACTTAGCTGTAGAGCTAAGACAGAACTCAGGGATGAGACCCCAAGGGTCTGCGGCAGGGCCCTGCCCCAAAGGCACGCTGTCCTGTGCAGTGAGGTTATGCCTGTTCTTTACTAACAGGGTTTCTTGCCTGCCATCTGCCCAGGCCTCTTCGCGATCACCCTCACGGAAAGGCTCAGCCAGGCTGGACGGAGTGCAAGCTCTTCGTTAACCTCTGGTATGCCGGGCGTCTTATCCCTGAGTGCCTGCAGCCGCCAAACGCGCCCGTGGGGGACGTTCTGATAGCGGCCACTAGAGGGCGCGTCCGCCCTTCCCTACTCCAGGTAATGAAACCCTCCGTTTTCAGGGCCCTTTAATGAGAAGGCAGTTCCCAAAGTACCCTCCTCCCAGGGAAAGCGCCAGGCTTCTATTAAAGGGAACCGCTTATTTATCCTCTAACATGAAGAAGCTTCCACGCAGCACCAATTAAACACATTTCATGTGAGTAAAGTGGGAAAACAGCTAAGGGATAGAAATGTAGGGTTGTTGTTGTTACCATTTTAGAACATCAAACTACTCCCTTTGGGTCTCCATTGTGTGTAGGTTAGTTCTGGAATGGGCTCAAGTTTGCATATGCCGCAGAGTCCCATCCCCTCCCCCAAACAGGCTGAAGATTGGGGTATGGTGTCCAGATACTCCAGACGGGTCAGATAGTCTGGCTTCATACTAATTTTTCTTATTAGCTCCACATGGACACTCATATTGTCAGGACCTTCGTTACAAGGTCGGGGTTGAAAAACTGGGCCACTGGTGGTATTTTCTATACTGTCTACCTAATGTGTAGGACGGATTCTGGAAGGTTCCATCGTCTGGACCACATTGAATAAATATGTTCCCAGGGATGGGGTGTTCAGGAGCACATGATGCACCGAGAAAAAGTGAACTGAAATCTTAAGCAAGAGCCACAGTTCTAAATTCTGAACTGCTGGAGGGGCTGGTCAGCCACAGGATGCCAGTAAGGTTGTGGCTTAGCATAGTAACCAGAGGGTGAGGAAAGACCCTCAGGGGAAATGTCCCCCTTTCCTTGGTTCCAAAAATAGTGATTTCCTAAGCAGTTGATCTGCTTTTATCTCCACACTCATCCGTTTCCCTTTTTTGTTTACTCCTGGTGCCTAGCCTGTGGCCCTTTGGAAGGAAATCTGTCAACTTGCTTGGTAAACTGTAGTTTTCCTCACCTCACTCCTGGCTCCAAGTTATATTTCCATTCTTCATTTTTTCTCTTGCTCTTGTTTTTAGCGTTGAAGCTTATATTTTGCGTCTCTATTGTAAACTGCTTTAAATCCTTTGTGGAACAAAGCAAAAGACAAATAAAATAAAGGAGATATCAGATACATTCTTTCCATGTAATAGCATCAGGTTGAAGTGTGGGTGTATATTTGTTACCTTTCCTTTGTAGGAAAGGAATGTTACAGTTCTCTGCCAGACTGCCTGACTGGTGATATTTTCCAATAACTTTCTACTTCCCATCAGTCTTAATTTGCTTAAGTGTGACTTGGACACCTCCAAGTTGTGTCTTCTAAACTTTTCTCTTTTGTATGCAGTACACAAGCTTATTTTTCTGATTTTAAGTATATTCTAACATCTCTGATGCCTGAAGCGACAGATTTGCTTTTTTAAAATTTACATTGATTTACAAATTTAAACTTTTTTTTACTCTCAGAAGACCCAAGTACTGCAAACCAGCAATATCATTTCACCAGTCTGGCCAATCCCTTTAAATGTATTAAAAAACAAAGGGAAAGTCACAAAAACTCAGATATTCACAAAGCAATATACGTTTTTGCTGCTGTTGCTATTACAAGGATCAATAGCCTTTTTGAAGGCCTCATTTCCTGAATCTCAAAGGTTTGACCCCAAACTGGACACAGTAGGTGCTCAACATGATTTGTTCAATGAATGAATGAGTCAACGCAATGCAACCAAGATGCTGGGGCAGAATGGATGAATGCCCCAGGTTGGGCCTGGGTAGTTCCATCACCGGGTCTTCGAATGGGGTTGACTGACTTTCAATGATGCAGGTGTTTGCTGAACTGATGTTACTGTGGTTTTCTCCAGGAGGAAGGGACTGAGCCAAAAAGGGCTGGTGTCTGGAAAGGGCATCTCTGAAGGAGAAAGGCTTGGGAAATGCCTGGAATGTCCTTTTTTTTTTTTTTTTTTTTTTAATAAAATGAACGCTTTCTCTTCTCTCTTCCACCACCTCCCCTCCCTCAACTATTAGCAACTTGCCCTGTGAATGCCCTAAGTGAAACCCCATGGTCCTGATCCACAACCCCTTCTTCCCCGCACTTCCTTCTGAATGTTTGTCCCGAGAGACTTTTTATTCTTTCTTTTACTTTTACTTTTATTTTTTTTTCTAAGAGGTTCTCATTTCTGAAGCTGTTAGGTCATTGGCCAGGCCTAAAAGTTTAAAGAGAACAGAGAGGGTAATTAGTCTGTGGGTTTGGGCTGGGGCAACAACTGATTTCTCTAATTAGGGTCTAAAAAGTGGACTTAGCTGAGGAGACGCATTTTCACCGGAAAAAAATTCATTTCTGTTAGAAAATTTCACCAATTGGCATTTTTTTCAGCTTCGCAGATGCATCTCATTCTCTCTGGCTCCTTCTTCTCTTGATTTTTCTTCGACTCCTTTTTTTGGGGGGACTTTGAAACATAGAGTGTTGTGGGGCCAGGCTTTACAAGAAGCAGACAGTGTTTGTTTGGTGAGGGACCTCTCAGCAAGCTGGAAACATTTGCTTTCCTAACCAGCTTCCCTCACTGTGAAGGACTCCACCAGCCTGGGGAAACGCTTTCCCTACTATGTTTACAAAGCACTAAATTCTCGATGTCATTAATTCCCTTCATAAAGAAAGGGGCCTAATAGAGTTTTCTGTTAGTCATTGAGATAGTGGTTATAACCCTGAAAGACCCAGAAAACAATAGAGCCTAAATTGAAGTGGGTGTGAGGTGGGGGTTGGGGGTGTGTGTGGAACAGCAAAATCAGTTCTCTTTTTTTGCCATCTGATTTCTCCCGCTGTAAAGGGAAATATTTTGAATATCTTAATCGTTACCTCACACATTTGTTTATTTTGTTTTCCTTTTCAGAACATCGCGAAGTGCTGTGTAGACACAGACCTCTTCCCCCTCCCTGCATGTGTTTCTCAAAGGAAGCCTCTTTGTCCTGAGGGTTCTGGCTAACTGTGTCCAGAGTAGAGCACCCAGTATGGGGGAAGGGAGGAGGGGGAGGCCCAGGGTCTCAGCCCCCAGGGACATCAGAGGTGCTGGCTGGTGTGCCCAAAAGGCCGGGCAGAAAGGCCCAATGCTCAAATTTCTCCTTGGAATCCAGGCTTCCGGGGAGATTGTTAATCCTGCAGGGTTACCCTTCCTGCTCTGAGCCCCTGCTTGTCCACCTCTGGGCAAGCCCAGGCCACCCACTCTGGGCTTTGGACAAAGGAAAGAGGACACTATTCTCGGTCAAGACACTGTTCCCTGCACAGCCCAGCTCCTGGGGCCTTAATGGGGGCATCCATAATTCCACAGTGATGAGTCCCCGGAAGAATGCTACGGATTTCAGCATAGATTCGTGTCTCGAGAATGTCCTGAGGCTCCAAATGGCTGAGAAGTGTCAAGTGTCACTGTGGCACCAATGGAAGCTGTGTCGGCTGGGAAAGCACAGGTTCTCAAAACATGGCCCACAGACCTCCTACATCAAAATCGCTGGCAAAGCTCGTTCCACAAGACAGACGCCCCCCACCACTTCTACCAGCAGCACTCCCCCAGACAAACTCTGAATTTCCCATGAGGTCAGGGGAGTGGTGGGACAGGCCAGGAATGGTTCCCACACCTGCCTCTGACCCCAGACGCATGCAAGCCTCCCGGCCCCCTGGGATGGTCCAGGACGCTTTCTCTCCAGGCGTAGAAATACTGGGCTCCCACAGGAGGGGGCACTCGTGGAGGCTACAGGGGACCCCAAGCTATGCTTTTTCCACGGAGCAATCAGCCAGAGGTGTGGCCAGCCTTCTGGACTCCGAATCTTCTCGTGTGCCCTGGTGTTTTCACCTCAATATTCCTGGGTAGAATCCAAGAGAGAATTAGAGTCACTCTGTAAAGTGCTCAAGAGCATGGATTTAAGTTAACACAGAGATGGCCTTTGTACCCCAGACTGCCTGTTTGACATGTGGGCCTGGCCTGATCCTATTCACATTCCTAGAGAGACACTGCATGAGCCATATTTGGCAGAAGAAATGTACAGACAGGCACGAGCATCAGGGCCACCTTTAGCAAAAAGAATTCCCAACCTCTGGCTATCAGATGAAGCCCGGGCATGTGGGCCACTGCAGCACCCATGTGGGACCCACCTCCTTGGGAGGCTTTCAGAGATGCTGGGATATTCTCCTTGTGTTAGTCTTTCCTCTGTGCCAAGCCTTTAGAGGCAATTATAGATATGCGACCTTGGGTAAATTACTCTCCTCCGAGCCACAGATGGCCTTACCTGTAAAACAGAAAAAATAATAGTCATGTTATTGCAGCATCCGTGGAGCTGGTGCCTCAGCCTGTCTGCTCCTCCTTTGCCTGCCTGTAGCATCTTGCTAGGGGTCCACACCAGGGACTTGGGCATGTATCTGGACACTCAGAGAAATGGGGTGGGGGACCATGATAACTGCCTAAGTTTGACAAGTGATCATGCCTGATATTTGTTCCTGATCTTGAGTGGAGATCATTGTTGCTCGTTTTTCAATTCAACAAGTCACCCAGTCTGTTGATGGGGCCTCCCATCAGGATGGATGCTCGACCAAGCTAGGGCTTGGATGACGCCAGAGCTGTCTTGCTTCTCAGAGTTGCTTCGAGCCCTGCCATGCTGGGGTGGCTCTGAGCGTGGTGAGCTATTTAAGGACATATCTTGTATAACTGTCATAGATCTGGGTGCACAAGGAGCCACCAAGCCACATGCTGGCACCTGCCTAAATGTACCACCTTTGAGAGACAGTGTTGGTGTAAGATGGGGAGTCTGTTGGCTACCAGTGGCTGGTAGGTAGCAGAATTCTGTGGTCCATTCATTGTCTTGGAAACGAATTCTTGCATTGAGAGAAAGAGAAAGCAATTGTAATTAAAGCTTTCCTTGCGCAGAGTTTCCCAGTGAAGGGAACTGGCACATTTCTTGTGTGCCCATTCGGCTCCAGGCACTAGGCTAGGACCTTCACATACATTGAATGTTTTAATCCTTACAACAGCCAGAGAAGGGACTATGGTTGTCACCCAGAAACAGAGGCTCAGAGAGGGTAACGAATCCCTTCAGAGTCTTACAGCTACTCAGTGTCAGAACCAGGGGACGAAGCCAGAGTTGGGAACTGTGACAATGGAGAAAGGGAACCAATGTTGCTCTTTTTAAACCTGAAGCTTTTCCAGGAACATGATCTCAGAGACTGGCCATCCCTGAGACCAGGGAGAAGGCTCTTCTCTACAGGAAATGCTTCCAAGCTTCCCTACGAGATTGAGGCTAAACCCCTTCCTGATGTCTCATGGATGTCCACTGGGAAAATATGTTCTGTCCTATCTCACAGTATAGATGAAGACTCCAGGGAATGGAAAGACATCACAGACAAAAGAAAATAGATGCAGGGTCGAGGTGCTGTGCCACCTGCAGTGAACAAATGCTAGGAAACCACATAATGATAGAGAGGGAGTCCACTCCACCTTCATCTTCAAGCCCCACCTGTTTGCAGGCATTCTCCCTCTGTTCCTCACACAGACCTCTGGATCCACCAGCCACAACAGGCCCTTCTACCCTCTGTTCCTTGGATCGCTGGCAGCCACATTTATGTCCAGAAGTTCCTTCTTACATGGGTCGGCGCCTCGGCTCTTTAGACGCGACCAGACTTGTGCAGCCTGCTTCTTCTCACTCAGTCCTACTCTTTCTGGGTGGCATCATATTTGTACATGTAAACACTTATCCCTTCTGTGAATGGTGAGCTCCTCTGAATCTCCTATGCCCATCAGCGGTCCCTCAGAACACTGTCCTAGGTTTGCACAGAGAAGATACGCTACAAATGCTAAATGGCAGGTGGAATGAATGGCCAGTGGCCTGGGAATAGAGACTTTGTGTCTCTAATCCATATTCCCAGGCAGGAGCACCTGTCCAGTCACTCTTTTCACTGCAGCTTGAATGCAATACTTTCTCATTCAGAGATGGTCAGGAAGACCTTGCTCCCTCAGAGGGTAAACAAGGTTACACTGCCTCATGGTGAGCTCCAAGGAAATAACCAGTAACTAAACAGTGGTCGAATGTTCACAAGATCATTGAAGATGAGAGGAAGAGGGCTTCGAGGATTCAAAGAGAATAAACAATGCTGGAAAACTTTTTTTTAAATTTCCGAGCAAGTGTTTCATTAGATACTGGGACAATTCATTTCACTTTTTAAGAGTCACTTCAGTAACTCAAAAGCATTCACTGAGCACCTCCCAAGTGCTTGATGCTACGGGGGAAATTAAGATCTTCTGCATAGAAAGTGCTTTATGGCCCTCAGCACATGTCACAGAATGCTTCTGTGTTTCCCGTCGGCTTTACTAGGTGGGCAGAATGGTGGCTTTGGAAGATGCCCTGATCCAACGCCTGCAGGGAGTGTGTGACCTCACATGGTAAAAGGGACCTTGCAGATGTGATTCATTGAATCGTCCTGGGAATGGGAGACCATCTTGGCTTATCTGGGTGGATTCAGTGTCATCGCCAGGGTCCTTACAAGGGGGGGTCAGCATCAGTCGTAGGGGATGAGACAAGGGAAGCTGACCATCGGGTAGCTGGAGCAATGTGGCCAGGAACTGAGGAGTTCAGACAGCCTCTCCAGAAACTGAGAGAGGCAAAGAAGGGATTCTTTCCCAGAACATCCAGAAGGAACGTAGCCTTGTGGACATGTCCATTTTGCCCTGTTAGGTTTGTGGTCATTTATTACACAAATCTTTGCAACGGAGATAAGGATAATCCTTATCTCATAGGCTCTGCCAGTAGATGATATGTGGCAAAGGTCTAGAACAGAGCCAGGCACCTGGCCATTTGGTCAGTTGTCATCATCACAGCATTGTTATTTTATTATTATTTATTTGGGAGATCTTACCCTGTGGGGTAGGCAGGTCCACTTCATATTCATAAAATGAACCTGTATGAAGTCCTTGCCAATAACCCTAGGGACCCGAGAAGAATTTAATGGGGCTCCTGGCAGGCAGGGAAGGCAGACATCTTAACAAGGAAGGCCAGCATGGAGTGACGAGACTCAGTTAGGGGTATGCCCAGGACTGGGAGTCCAGAGGGCGGGTCTCTGGTGGGAAGTGGGGATGACTGGGGTGGTCCCTCTAACGAAGAAAGCCCTGAGCAAAGAACTGCAGATAGCAGAGGCCGGCAGGCAGCGAGAGGAGGTGCAGAAGGAGCAGAGGGGGCTGTGCACGGAGGCAGCCTTCTAGAGAAGAGGGGTTGGACAGATGCCCAAGATCCCACAACCAAGACTCCAACCCAGATCTTCTGCCCAAGGCCTGTCTGCTGCCCTGGGGATTCTCTGTATGCATGTGACATAGCTACTGGCAGGTCTCAAGGATGACATGGTTTGCCCAGAGACTCCTGAATATAGAATAAAGACACCATTTAAAAACAACCATTTTAGAGAATGCTTAAAAATAAATAGTGGTGAAATTCCACCAGGAAGGTGTAAAAGAACCAGATTTGGGAAGATTTAAAGAGATAAGAACATGAGTTGGACCCTACAGGTAAGTAGGATGTGGATACTTGGGGGTGGGGGTGACAGGAGAAGCTTCTCAGCATCCTGGAGGCCAGCCAGCCCCGGGAACCCAGAAGGTAAGGGTGCCAGGCTAGCTATAGAAAGCCATGTGGGGGCCTTGAGAGCTAGTCCCAGTTAACACTTTACTTGGAGCATATTTGGGGAGTCTGCTGCAGGATCCTTGAGCAATAGGACGAAATCCGCATATTAGATGTACTAATGGGTCTGTACGTAAGATGGGAACTTACCTTTCTGTCTCCAGCATGGTGCATGCTCCACTGTTATTTGTTGTTCTGAACTGAGATTTGCTAAGTCCCCAGTAGCTCGCCATGATCGTATAGTGGTTAGTACTCTGCATTGTGAACTGAGATTTGTAGGATGGATTGGAAAGCATGGGGGACGCCTGGTCTCTGATCTAAATCCTACTGGCTTGCACCTCATTAGGGTGGAAGCTAATGGTTGTCAAACCCCACCAAGATCACAGTCCCTGATATTCACAAAAGGTTACAAAGTCATCCCAGATTTAAGTTTCCTCATTGCCTTTAACCTTTACTGGTAAGCACTAAATGTTTCACCGAGTGCAGATTGAAATAACACTTTTTAGCTCCTATTTGATATCCAAGTATTGACTATTTATAACTGACTATTGACATATAGAATTGACTATATTCTGACTATAAAACAGAAACTGAAAGTGTGATTTCAGTGCCAGATTCTGAGGTAAGACGCAAAGCCTTCTCGGTCTTCCAAGCCTTAGCATGGTGTGATTCCTGCCCACACCAATCCCGTAGATGGGGGATTGCTGAACGAAACAGGTCCTTGGCTGCCAAAATGTGCCCAAAAATTGTGCACCAGAAATAATAGTAACAATATGACATGTAGAATGCTAAGAAACTGCTGGCAAGTATAATAGCATAGAACGCAATTTGAACTTGGGTGAAACGAGGTGCGCTTAGATCCCTATAATGGCAAGGCACTCTAACCTCGGGAACTGCTTGCTGAAGCAGGGACTCTGATTCAGACAGAACCTTCCAGTCCCTTTTGCCACTTGCTTCTCCCTTACCAAATGTTAGCTTCATTCTTACCAAAAGGTAGTGGATCTTTTCCTCCAGGACGTGGGGGACACAACCACCAGCAGCTTCCAGGTTCTTTTCTCCCTCCCAGTAGGAACCCCTCTCCTCTACCAGCTACAGTGCCAATAAGTCTCAGGGAGGGACCATCTCCAATATCCTCCCCTCAAGGGGACTGAGGCCAGGGAGGCAGAGTCACAGAAAGGGATGATAGCCCTGATTTGGTCCACGTGGCTGGAGTCAGGGGACAAAACCAGCAGTTTCATCAAAGAAGGGCTTGGGTAGCAAGAACACTAAGGAATTGCTCCGGGCCAGCAAACAAACTTCAGGATTCCCACAATGGCTTATGGCAAAGCCAGGCCTGGGAGGTTTCTGTTCTCTTCTGGGAGTCTCAGCCTGTGTTCTCACGTCATCCCGTCTGGCCTCTGATTATGTGCCTCTGAGTCCTGGCAAAGCCAGGAGACCTTCCTCCACCTGGAGTCAGTCTGGGCTCTCTCCCCACCTTCCCCCTGCATGGGGTCTTCTGAAGTTCTCAGTGCCTGCAGTTAAAAGTTCAACTTTGAGGGCACCTGGGTGGCTCAGTCGGTTAAGTGTCGGACTTTGGTTCAGGTCATGATCTCAGAGCTCAGATTCTGTCTCCATATTTCTCTGCCCCTTCC